AGCTGCTGTGTGGGGCCTGAAATGACTCTCTTTGTGTCATGTGTGTCATAAGGCCTTGCAGTACGTGAGTCCTAGTGAAAATGCTAGAAAAAGTGGCAGCTCCTGAGCATGTGTTGGTACAGACACAGCCACAGGAAACAAAGTTCCCAGTTCAGCAAAATGGCATATTACTTGGTTGGGTTTTACCTGGATTCTAGGGTGACTTACCAGCCTTTTCCCAAATGGATGTTTCCACAATATGGTGGCCCAACTCTTGACTGACTTGCCTCTGTGACATCGCAAGGGCCCACTGCTCTCCCATTTTGGCCCTGAATTCTGTTAACCTGGCCCATGAGGGCAGACCCTATCACATCAGCTGAACTAAGGCAGCTGCCTTCCAGGGCAGCATGGTGGAGATGGTGAATCCACTACGATACAGCCTTTACTCCAACAGCACAGGAAACGTGTTCTATGCTCGTCCCTTGTAGAGGGCTAGCTTCTTCAATAAGCTCTGGCTGCAAAGGGCCCTATAAGCCTTCCCTGTGCCCCACACTAAGCCTCGTCTGAAAGGACCTATGTCAGTCAGTACTTTCTGAGGAAGCTGCCCAACATCATTAGAGCTGAATACGGTAGGACAGAATCAGACATATGGGACTCTAAAGATGCTGTGTGGTGGTGGTGCAATTCAGAGAGGTAGTTTATCCTGCACAATGTGAGGATTGTACCTCATTGTGCCACCCCTGCCGGAAATGAACAAGAATCTTGGTTGGCCTTTCTGTGAGATTCAGTGGTCAAATAAAGGAATGGGGTGCACTTTGCTTTTGAGTAACAATAAAAGTGATTTTAGAACAGGCAGAAAAAAGCAGATTTAGGTGAGGACAAATGCTGCTTTAATGGCAAGTTAATATGTGATATGAAGTTTAAAAAGGATATTTTCAAGGACATGTGGGGAAATTTTAGAGAATTTGCATAATAAAAGGGAAAGGACATTTACCTTCACAAGAAACACTGCAATTTTGGATGGAATAAGGGGCTTTGGAATATTAATTGGAAAACTGAAAGTATCCATATGGGTCCCAGTGAAGGGATGCACTTTGTTTTCATTAAAGAATTCAGATTTACTATGATTATTATACTAAACTGTTATTGTTTACTTGTTACATTTTGTTTTAGTAATGTTATGTATTGTCTAGTAGTTTGATTTTGTTTTGTTATTATTAAAAAAACAAAACAAAAACTGTCTTAGGGTTGGACTACATGTTAAGGGAATGTATATTTCCTGTCATTAACGTGTTTTCACTTCAGACACACAATTCCTTTAAAGCTCTGTGACTGAGTCATTGGAATTGAAAATGAAGCCTATGTCTATCACATGATGAGCAGTCAGAAAATCAAAGCAAGCAACATTCTTAACATGGAAGCTCATACTAAGATAAACAGAACTGTCCTTTTTACAAGAGCTGATGTATATGAGAGAGGATTTGTGATTGCAGGAATGCTGTGCTGTTTGCTTCTAGGCTTCTTTGACAACATCCTCTATTTCAAAGGCTGTCCTGCGCTAGTCCAGTTTAAAGATCTAGACACATGAGAAGTAAAAACTGGGGGTTAGAACTTGTATATTACCAGTTAGCACCTGGCAGGGCTGGCTTGAGATGTTTTGCTTCCACAGGCAAAAAATAATATATATGCCTCCACACACACACATTTCATCCAGAAGACTGGAAACGGGTTTCAAATTTAACCTCAGCACTTGTGGTAGGACATCAATATCCTCCATTGATGGGAGGTAGCAAGCTTGTGGTGGAGTGGGCGAGGATATGTGTTATGCTTCCGCTGGAGGAGTTTTCCTCTGTGAATGAGAGCCAGGTTGATGTGCCCTGACTGGACAGGGGTCAGATTTAGAAAAAGACTTTAAGCCCCCAGGTGTGAAATGCCTTCTATATGAGAGGCTGAAGGAGAATCTGGGCCCTCCAGAGCCCATTCCCTGCAGTGGTGGCAGCAGACTAACCCCCCACCCCCACCCCACCAAAGCCCAGGGAAGAAAGGTGTCTGAAAGGATAGGATGGTGGGGCACAGCCAAAGCTAAATACCAGCAGAGGCTGGCTCGGGTGTAAGGTTTTCCTGAGCAGGAAGAAACTGCCCAGCTGTGGCTGTAGAAAAGTGCTATTTCCCTCAAATCCAGCAGCTGAGAACACCTCCACCTTGGCCCACCTTGTTCCTAGTTCTAAGTACTCCTGAAATTCCTGGTTGACTCCTAACCTGGCTACTTGAACTTGACACTCCACTGACTTTGCTTCTGGCCAATCCTTCCTTGGACTGATGACCTGGTAGGACTTTTGACTGATGGCTCAGGAACGATCAACTTGTACTGTAACTGCTCTGATGTTTGTCACTTGCTTTGATTTGGCCACTACTGTCTTCTTGGCGTACTAGCCTAACAAGGCTTTTTAAGACTTCCTTTTTAAGTACCCCCTAACAGACTTGAAAGTGACAGTGACAATGACAGATTTTACTTTCTTGGGCTCCATAATCACTGCAGATGGGGACAGCAGCCACAAAATTAAAAAACACCTGCTTCTTGGGGGAAAGGTGATCACAAACCTCAACAGCATCTTAAAAATCAGAGACATCACCTTGCCGACAAAGGTCCGCATCGGCAAAAGCTATGGTTTTTCCAGTAGTGATGTATGGAAGTGAGAGTTGGACCATAAAGAAGGCCGACTGTCGAAGAACTGATGCTTTTGAATTGTGGTGCTTGAAGAGACTCTTGAGAGTCCCTTGGACTGCAAGGAGATCAAACCTATGCATTTTGAAGGAAATCAACTCTGAGTGCTCACTGGAAGGACAGATCCTGAAACTGAGGCTCCAATACTTTGGCTATCTCATGAGAAGACTCCCTGGAAAAGACCCTGATGTTGGGAAAGTGTGAAGGCAAGAGGAGAAGGGGATGACAGAGGACGAGATGGATGGACAGTGTCATCAAAGCAACCAACATGAATTTGACACAACTCCGGGAGTCAGTGGAAGGCAGGAGGGCCTGGCTTGCTCTGGTCCATGGGGTCACGAAGAGTCGGACATGACTTAACAACTAAACAAAACAGACTTAAACTACAGCTGGCATGTTTGCTGGTCACTTGAGCACTTATAGTCATATAGTAAGACAACACAGTACAGTATATAGTACACAGAGCTGTATACTCTAGTAGAAGGGCATTACCTAGTGTTCAAGAAAGAGGGCAAAGGGATTGTCACAGTATATGCTAACTGAGGCAGTGAGTGCAATCAGACAAAGAAACAGCTCACATTTTTGACTGCTTATGGCACAGTCCAGTGTCTGTCAATTTCCCCAATTTGCAGTATATGCTAACTGAGGCAGTGAGAGTGCAATCTGACAAAGAAACAGCTCACCTTTTTGACTGCTTATGGCACAGTCCAGTGTGAGCTGTTTTCCAGTGATCAAACAACACACAGGAGATTATGAACCAGCCTGACCCTGCTCTGTACCCAAGCTGGTCCTTTTTGGTCCAGCAGCAGTCTTTGGGGAGCTGGAGCAATTATTGCATGTATGGAAGGGTCACTTTAAGGGAGCTAGCTCCTCGTGAAGTGGCCTTCTTTCTTGCCATCTGATGGCACCCTTACCTCACTCTTCCTAATGACAGGTCCAACCCAGACTTCGAGAAACTTACTTTTCCCCCCAAGGCAATTGCTATGTTATCTGAGGGATTCTGGGTGTTGTAGTCTAAAACAGTGGTTCCTAGTCTTGGGTCCCCAGATGTTCTTCGACTCCTGGCCAGCACAGCTAGCGGTGAAAGCTTCTGGAGTTCGAGTCTAAAAACATCTGGGGATCCAAGACTGGGATCGAGTAGGCTAAAACATAACGTTGATCCAGCCCTGGCCGTTGGAGTGTCAAAGCAGCAAGTCCACCAGTTACCTTGTCACTATCCACTTTCATTCAAATTCTACTAAGTGTTTCTAAATCTGCCTCTCTACATATAAATTCACATTTCTGGCCCTATGGAAACCAGGAGGACAAAAACAACAAAGGTTACCCAGATCGAGGATGCTTGTCAAAGACTAATAATGTAGGTGAAGTTGGGTGATGGGCACAAAAGCTGTGGAAAGGCCTAGGTAGAATGCACACAGAGAGAGCAAGCGACATTGACTGGCAAAGGGTGAGCTTGACTGGATTTTCCTTCCAATTCAGTTTACTACAGTGGACCCTTGACTTACAGACGGCTTGACTTACAGACTTTTTGAGTTACAGACTTCTCTGGCCGCAAAATTTAGGTTTGACTTGCAGACTGAGATTTGACTTACAGACCAGAAAAAACCCAAAATGGAACAAAAACAGCCTGTTACGGGATTAATCGGTTTTCAATGCACAGTAGGTCAATGGAGACTTGACTTACAGACTTTTTGACTTGAGAACCGCCTGGCTTGACTGGATTTTCCTTCCAGTTCAGTTTACTACTTCTAAAGTCCAAACTCTGCACTTTTGCCAGCTTGATACAAGGGAGAACTCCTGCAGGTACTATAATGGTTTGTCCAGCTGCTCCCCTGTGCATCCACCTCCTGTTGCTGTAACCATGGCAGTGGGGAGAGGTGTATCCCCTCCTCCCTTTTAAGCCATCATCCTGCCGCCCGCCCCTCTCCATAAGAGCAGGCTGCAGTTTCCCTGCTTGGTGAAGTGAGCTGGTGGGGAGAGATGTCAAGGAGCAGCGGCTGGGTTTGGGGTGGGGAAGGCAAGCAAAGTCAGGCACAGAGCAAACCTGGTTACACAGCATCTGCTTTGCTCACCAGCTGGATTGATAAGAGAACGGCAGAGATCCGCCTGCTGCAGTGCTGCAGGTGGGCATGAAAACCCTGCCACTCGTAGTAAGAAAGCACTGGAAGATTTGGAGAAAAACTCACTGTGATTCATTGTAAAGAATCTTGATACTTGCCGACAAGTACTTCAGAAGTCTGTGCGTCTTCCCACCAAAAGAGAGAGAGAATTCTTGCTCACGCAGAGAAGTAGTTATTAGGGGCAAATAGAATCAGTGTAAAGTCTTTTTTATGCATTTGTTCAGCTTATAATTGCTGCTCATTGAAGATCTGTTCTTGACCACAGGAGAGAAAATATTATCTGTTGTTATCTTTTTTTGTTCTGGAACTGAAGTAGGCAATTTTCGGGAAAGTGGAAGCATCGAAAGAAAAAGCATCTTTGTAATTCTTAGGAAGCTCTCCGAACAGTGAGGCGGCTGATTTAAAGTGTGAGCAGCAGACGGCTAAGACCAGCTGTTATTCAAGATAGCATTCTTCATTAGGAAATCACACAATTGCTTTCTCTCTGTGAGAAAGAAGGCGAGATCTAGAGAAGGGAAACATTAAGGAGTTTGTCTGATTTCGGTACTCCAGTTCACCAGTGAAAAACCAACCCTTTCTCTATATTAAGAGAAGCAACCCAGAAACTGACAGCGTCATGGAAGATGAGGAAGGTAAGCACCTCTCATTCTTACTTCTTTTGAACGCTAAGCCGGATTTACTTATTGCCTTATCCATACAGGTTACTCTCATTAATTTATCCAGAATCTTTAACATGAAGCCATTACAGAAATGTTTGGAGGGCCATAATTTACCATGGGTGCTTTACTGCGTGTACCTAGGGAAGAGGACAGGGGATAGGTAAGAACAAATGCACCTATATTTGTTCTGTTGCTCTGAAACCAATGAATCCCAAAGCCTTTCATGTTTATAACATTTTTAAATTAAATGAAATTACATTACCAAAGCAACAAGACAATATCTGCTCTGAATAGCTAGGCAGTTTATGATGGAAAATTTCATTGGTTCAGGGGTCTTTCTTCCAGGTTTGCTCAAATGTCCATTTTTTTTCCACGACTGGGAGGACCATAACTGCAGATACTGCTGCTGCTGTTTCCACTACAGCTACTATTATTGCTGCTACTAATGTTACAGGGCACCTTTCCCCGGAAAAAACACAACTTAAGGCATCTTATAAGAGGCAATGCAATATGGGTCCAAGTCACCAGAAACACCATGCAATTCCATATGAGCCTGCCTGGGCTTTGAGATCTTCAGGAAGGACTCCTTTCGCTATCTGGCCACCCTCTGAGGCACATTTGTTGAGAATATGACAGAGGGATTTTCCCAGCTTGGGGTGCTACTTACTAATTTGGCCCCCCCTGTTGTTCTTCCACTAGTAAAAAAAAACAAACCACACGATTGTATTCAGACAGGTGTTTGGTGAGTGATCAGTTGCTGAGGGAGGGGCTATTCCTTAATGTTATGTATTTAAATTGGGTTTTTTAATTGTTTCTTTAATTTTGTTTCAATCTTTGATCTTGTTTTGTTTTGTTCTTTATTAATGCAAGAAGCTTTGAGTCTCATTTTCAGAAGAGAGGCAGAGTATAAACCGAATGAATGAATGAATGAATGAATGAATGAATGAATGAATGAATGAATGAATCTTAATAAGCATAAATAAGTGTGAATAGATCTTTGCACACCAGGTCAGCCTGGTCAAGCATTTCAACATTGGCTAAACTGTGCAGGTCTATGTTGCTCATGAGGATAGAGTAGGATATGTGGTCTATATGGAAAGCCAATGGTCTGAAAGGGCTGGCATTTCACCCACAGTTTCAACATGGGGCACCTTGACTCCTCAGACCATAGGGCATCCCTGACTGGCAGCATTCATTCACCATGGTGATCTTATGGGAGAAGAATCTCACCGCTGCTCCCTTTCCTCTTCTCCCATCACTGCCTCTCTACTTAGGCTCTCTAGATTTTCAGCCTACAATTCCCATCAGCTCTATCCTGCATGGCCAATAATTAAGGTTATGGAAATTTTAGCCCAAAACATCTGGAGGGACAAAGGTTTCCCACTGTTCTTTATGGAATTTAAGGACAAACTTAAAAGCAGCCTGTAATTGCAGTTGAAAACATGTTAAGGTTGCAGAGGGAGGATGGGGACATTCTTTTAAGTTTTTGAAATCAGACATCAAAAGAAGCCTGGTGCTTAAATCCAGAAGACCAGCCACCAAACAAAGGAAACTAATCTGCATAATCCCCAAAAGAACATCTGTTTCAGGCTTTTAAAAGGATTGTCATTCTTGTCCATTGGAGTTTCATTGTCAAATCAGGAGAGTTGCAAACCATGGTGTGCAAAGCTTAGTCATCTGCTATCCTCACTATTCCAGGCCTGAATTTTCCCTTCCAGGAATCAAATGAGTTTTATGTGCAATGGAGTAGGGTAGCCGAGGTCCAGTTTACCACCACCCCCAATGGGAAAAAAAGAAAACAGGTAACTGAGACAAGGGCATATTGGGCTTCTCTCACCATAGTGTCCGTACTTACGCTACTCTTTTTATTTGTTTGTTTGTTTGTTTGTTTTAAATTTCATATACAGATGAGTGATAATAATTAATTCATAGGATGCAAAATGTGCTTCCAGACTCTGACATTATATGTACGGCTATTTGCTAATATTGGTAGATGTGTATACCTGAAGTGTCAATAGGAAGGTCTGTGAGAAACACATCTCTACGATTCATCTTTGTATGTGTGTTTGTTTGTGTGTGTGTGTGTGTGTGAATACTTGCAAAGTTTTGTGTACTCTCCTCCTCATACATCTTGCTGCATGTAGGTATTAAACTGGCTCCCCATTTCCTTAAATCATAGCACCCACTATACCTCAGCAATATGTTGGCATTTGATCCAATATACAATGAAAAGATACTGAGGGCAAAACAATGTTTTCTTCTTAGTCCAGTAATTTCTCTCCTGTGATTATTTATCTCATTTTTCTAAAGTTTGTTTGTTTTTCCCCTAGCCTACTTCTGCCCATAGAACTGAATTTCATTCTGTCTTAAACATTAGTGGTAATACACTGCTGCTGCTGCTGCTGCTGCTGCTGCTGCTGCTGCTGCTGATGATGATGATGATAATAATAATAATGATAATGATAATGATAATGATAATGATAATGATGATAATGATAATGTAATAATAATGGAAGCAGATAACATAGTGCACACAAAAGTTAAAGAACTGACAGAAAGGGAATGTATTAAAATATTGCAAAAAATATTAAAATTAAATGGTGGAAATAATCAAAGCCATAAATACATGGGCAGTTTCAACAGGTAGTAGAGGAGCAAAAAAGAAGCCAAAATGATTATATCAGCACAAGCAGATACAAATTATTTAAGGCAGTGAAAATGGAGAACATTTTGAAAATAACAGAAACAAAGGCTCAATATAAGAAGCAACATAAATATGAAAATAAATTAAACCGCTAGAAAAATAAACTACTACATGGACAACACCTGAAAAACATTGATGGAAATTGATGGAGAGCATAATAACAATTCAACATGGGCATGGCTAAAACTGGGGACCATTAAAAAAGAAACCAAAGGCTTGAATTTTTGCTGCAGAAGAACAAGCACTCCAAACCAGTGTGATGAAAGCTAAGATCCAAGGAATTAGTGCTAACAGCAAATGTTGACTGCCAAAAAAAAAGATGAAATGGTGTCACGCTTCATCTACTAATGCCCAGAGATTGCACAAACAAATTACAAAATTAGACATGATAGAATGCCAAAATTAGTGCACTGGTCATTATGCAAAAAATATAACTTGCCAGCCTCAAAAAACTCATGGGAACATCAGGTAGTGAAGGTGTCAGAAAATGAGGAAGTCAAGATCTTGTGGGTTTTCCAGATCCAAACTGATAGACAACCTGAACACAAAACACCAGATGTAATAGTAATAGAACAAAGAAATGTCCAGATCATTGACATTCTAAGGGTTGCTGGAGTTGAAAATAAAGAATTGGAAAAACTAACAAAGTACAGAGATGTGGCAATTGAAACATCTCACCTCTAGAAGAAACATACTTCAGTGGTCCCCTATAGTCATTGGGACTTTTGGAACAATATCCGGAATTTTCACACAGTACTATAAGCAGTTGCAAATCTCAGAAATCCTACCACTAGAGCTACAAAAAAGAGCAATTTTAGGAACAGCATACATACTGCGTCAATATTTAACAGATATTTTGTTTTTGGTTAAAACTTGTATCTGTTATATAATACCAGTCAATGTTTTTATAATTTTGACTGTGCCTGGAGTTTTTGAATGATAATAATGATAATAAGCTATCAAGTGAGTTCTGACTTATTGCAACCCCTTTCCAGAATTTTCTAGGTAGTGAGTACTCAGAAATAATTCTACCCTTTCCTCCTTCTGGGGACACCCTGGGAGCCTACAGCCTGCCCAAGGCTAAACAGGATAACTCTCCTCTTGGGATGCAAAGTATAGAATCAAAGTCCCAACTTTTGACTCTGCAGCAGATGCGTAACTCAGTATCATATAATAAGGTTCCCCTTGACATTTAGTCCAGTCATGTCTGACTCTAGGGCGCAGTGCTCTTTCCTGTCTCCAAGCCGTAGAGCCAGTGTTTGTCCAAAGACAGTTTCCATGGTCACGTGGCCAGCACGACTAAATACAGAACACTGTTACCTTCCCACCATGATGGTACCTATTTATCTACACACATTTTACATGCTTTCGAACTGCTAGGTTGGCAGGAGCTGGGACAAGCGACGGGTGCTCACTCTGTTGCGTGGATTCGATCTTACAGCTGCTGGTCTTCTGACCTTGCAGCACAAAGGCTTCTGTGGTTTAACCTGCAGCGACACCCATCATATAATAGTGGTTCCTAAATTCAGCTGAGGACTTTAATTTTTCACATTGGTGAGACAAGAACCCAAGAAGACAGAACTTTTTATTAGGAATGAGAAAATAATGTACGCCATACAGTTAGGAAAAAGTATTCATAGGATTTTTGGGGTATGTATGTGCATAATAGTATGCTACAATAATTTTCTGCATACTGTGTGTGTGCCAATAAAACACAGCGTGCCTGTCTTTGTGTATTAAAACAATACATTATTTTAGGATGGGGAAGAGCACCAGCCCTTTCCTTCCTTCAGATCCCCATGAAGATGTGCCTTCTCATGATTAACACCAACAAAGGGTTTTAAAATGCCTGATTTCACTGGAGGGAAGGGGTGCGGTGTGTGTACAGGACGGTTTGTGTATACGTGCCTATGAGTGTTTGGGGTCCAGGTCTCTGTGTGTGTCTGCACAAGTGTATGGGATGCAGATAATAATGCCAAGGACTGTATGCCTGCAGCCGGTTGGCCCAGCCCTTTGGAGTGAGGCTGCACATGGTGCTGCCATTTGGAGCTGATGTGTTTGCCTACAACCAGTTTGGCTATCAAGCTGAAGAACATTTTTTTTAATGAGGAGACATAATAATGAAGGTGTTGCTGCCTGAAATCAATAACCAAGGAATGCTGCCATGGTAGTGAGGCAGAGCTTAATGGCACGCACATTAAAGATGAACAAACTCATTATATGGATGAAGAACATTTTTTTTTTAATGAGGAGACATAATAATTAAGGTGTTGCTGCCTAAAATAAATAACCAAGGAATGCTGCCGTGGTAGTGAGGCAGAGCTTAATGGCACATTAAAGATGAACAAACTCATTATATGTTTTTGTGCACTACCGTGAACTTCTCAGTGTTTGTGCATGTCTGCATTTAAAATTAATTGCTGTTCTTTATCTTCCACAGGGTTGCATTGAACAATGTCTAATGACTACATTTGATTTTTAAATGTATTTTTGATGGAAGCTGTTTTGAGTACAGTTGTCAAATTGTGGGATATGTGTACATGAGTACTTACATAGCACATTATAACCATTTCTCTGACACTCTAATTGTTTGAAGAGCTTATTGTGGGAAGGATGGTAGACATTCATTCACCACTAATTCATTCCATTAATTGGAATATTAATAGTCCAAATACTACTACTACTACTACTACTACTACTGCTGCTGCTGCTGCTGCTGCTGCTGCTACTACTACTACTACTACTACTAGCAGCACCACCACCAACAACAACAACAACAACAACAACAGATTTTTGTAGTTCTATAAGCTACCCTGACTCATGCATGTCACAAGACAAGGATGGGGAACCTCTTTCTAAAGAAAAATCTAAAGGCTGGATTCAGAGAAGTTTTTGAAGCCATTCTAGTAGTAAGAACGGCCAAAGAATGGGATTAAAAATGCCAGCCTATAATATATAAATACAGCAAATGCTAGTGCCATAGTGAATGGTTGTATGGCTATTTGGAGAAGCTTATAGGGTTGGACTGAGACCACTAGTGGGCAAGATTTGGTCAAAGGGCCTGAGGCCACAGGAATTCCTGTTCATTTCATTCTGAACAAAACATGATGGTTCTTATTCTTCTTTGCTCCACCAGGGGACAATTTCTGTTGCACCAACAGCAGCCCACTGTCTCCTAAGAATGAAAGTCACATCCAGATCTTCAAGGGCAACTATTCCTTCTCTTCCTACTACCAGCATTCTTCTCCAGTGGCTGCCATGTTCATCATTGCCTATACCTTTATCTTCTTAATGTGCATGGTTGGCAACATGCTAGTCTGCTTCATTGTGCTGAAGAACCGGCAAATGCGGACTGTAACCAACATATTCATCCTTAACTTGGCTATCAGTGATGTTTTGGTGGGGATCTTCTGCATGCCAACCACCCTGGTGGATAACCTGATTACTGGTGAGTGTGAGAACAAAGAATAATAGGTACCAGAATATAAACAGATACCAAAAGACAGAGGGGAAGTCTTTCAATACAAAGCAAGATATTTGTGGTTAAAACCACAAAGCAAGGAAAGTCAGAGCTCAGAACTGTTTCCCCACCCAACATGCTACTCAAAGCATAAACCTTTATTTTATCTTAACTTCTCCCCAAGTTAACACTCTAGCATCATCTCATTAGGTACCCCACTTGCTATATAGTGTATCACTAGTGTTGTGGAAAGAGCTGAAATGAAACTTGTTCTAACAGTGCTGATATCTACATACTGCAGATTTGCGGCATAGTTCTATACACAGTTATTTCATTTTTACTGTTCCAATTGAGTTGATCTATATTTGGGGGAATTAACTCTCTTAGTGTTTAATGCAATTAGTCCTACGCAAGCAAAATGGTGGTGTTTTCTTTTTTTAGAAAATCCGAGAATGGACGTTACCTCTTCTATTTCAGTTTAAGATACCAGAAAGGGAGGGAGGAAAGAAGGAAGGAACCTCTATTTTGAATGAGAATAAGGGAGATTATTTCCTTGCTTTGGGTATATAGCTTTAACTGTAAAGCTTCTGGTTTAAAACAACCCCTCCCCCTCTTTGAGCATTTATCCTGCTTTATAAAATATTGATATCAATGCTGGAAAAGGAAATATTGTCTGTCACCTTCAGCTAAGAGAACAACATAAAAGTATCACCATAAACAAAGCAAACAGCAAATACTCCTGGAAAAAATACTATTAGAAACAGATGACAAATTGATTTTTAAAATGTATGAATTGTTATTAGAAATTAAGATGGAAGATGAAGTGATAAAAGATTGTATGACCAAATGGGTGCAAAATATAGGCCATGATATTGATATTCATGACTGGGAAAATATGGAAAATTAATATAAAAATTACAAACTCTGTAAATTTTAAAGAAAATATATACAAAATGTTCTACAGATGGTACATGACACCAGATAAGTTATCAAAAATATATAAAGGTACATCAAATATATGTTGGAAATGAAAATCACAAAAGAGAACCTTATATCAAATGTGAGGACATGTAGTAAAGCAAAAAAATTATTAGATATTAAAACATGAATGTTTACAGAAAATTCTACTACATAATATACTAATTAAACCAGAATTATTCTTATTAAATATGTTACCAGAGAGTTTAGATAAGAGAGAGAGCCATTTGGTGATACATATAATAACTGCAGCCAGAATACTATATGCATGAGATGGAAGAAAACCGAAATACCAAATCGTGAAGAACTAGTGCAAAAGATTATTAAGTGGTGGAGCTGGACATATTAACAGAAGCTTTGAAAGACAATTCAATCCAAGAAGCATAGAAAATGGGAGCCTATATATAACTGGATCCATTCTATAACTTGAAAGCCAAGTGTTATAATTTTAATACAAAATAGTCAAATAACTCTAGTTGGAATTATATAGGCAACTAACAGACACAAAAGTCTTTTATGTAATGATATGTTTAAGTACAGATAATATGTGATAAAGCAGTGGTTGTTAACCTTTGTTACTCGGATGTTTTTGAACTGCAACTCCCAGAAACCCTAGCCAGCACAGTTGGTGGTGAAGGCTTCTGGGAGTTGCAGTCCAAAACTCCTGAGTAACCCAAGGTTAAGAAGCAGGGTGATAAAGTATAGTATGATATATCCCCTGTTATCCCGAGTTATTTCCCTTTACCCCTGAAATTAAAAGAAAAAAAATATATAGATATCGATCCTGGAAAAAGAAATATTGTCTGTCAACTTCAGCAAAGAGAACCATATAAAAGTATCACCATAAACAAACCAAACAGCTAGCAGCAATACTGTTAATTGTGTTTATTGTATTGATGTTGTTGTTTAGTCGTTTAGTCATGTCCGACTCTTCGTGACCCCATGGACCAGAGCACGCCAAGCCCTCCTGTCCTCTACTGCCTCCTGGAGTCGGGTCAAATCCATGTTGGTCGCCTCGATGACACTGTTTAACCATCTCATCCTCTGCCGTCCCCTTCTCCTCTTGACATCACACTTTCCTAACATCAGGGGCTTTTCTGGGGAGTCTTCTCTTCTCATGAGATGGCCAAAGCAGGCCAACGTCTTTTGGCGAGTTCGATCTGGATCTCTAAGGAAACCATAGCCATTCACAAAAAAAGAGAGGGGTTAATATTTCCATTTAAGCCTGTCTTTTAAAGACAGATCCTTCCACATTATACAGAGTTACTTATATATTTGCATACCCATATACAGTAGTGTGTTGATCCAGGTTTTCTGCCATAAACCATATTCCGATATCAAATATGTTACATTAAATGTGGGTCCTATCCAAGAAAAGGTGGCGTTCGAATTCCTTGATTCCCCCCCGCCCCCCAATTCCCTAATTGTCATATACTGGAGCAAAGGTACAAGTAGGGACTCTGAGATTTCAGAAAGTAGCATAATTGAGAAGTACAAATAAACAGATACCTGCAATTAAATGATTGCCAGAAGAGGAAAGAAAGCACAGTCTCCACAGTTCTAGAGGATAAAAAAGAGTTTATCACATGATTAGAATTGCTGAGTAAATTCCTTTCTATATGTTAAGATTTCTTGGTTTTGGAGCCTGTTTACTGATTCCAAATTAAATGCATGAAAATACGGGATGAGATGTTTCTCCAAATACTGTATGATTGTTTTCTTCAAATAGTTCCGATATGTTTTGTCCCTTTGACCCGTTGGTATTTCTTTGACATATATTCTTGTAGATGATCAAATGTTGACTAGAAACCTCCTGGTATATACATAAGGTAACGGTAAAGGTTCCCCTTGACAATTTTTGTCCAGTCGTGTTCGACTCTAGGGGGTGGTGCTCATCCCCGTTTCCAGGCCATAGAGCCAGCGTTTTGTCCAAAGACAATCTTCTGTGGTCACATGGCCAGTGCGACTTAGACATGGAATGCTGTTACCTTCCTTATTTATCTACTTGCATTTGCATGCTTTTGAACAGCTAGGTTGGTGGGAGGGTATATACATAAGATTTGCTAATTGTGGCTAACTAATCAGGTGCTGGGGCACAGTTGAGTTGTGCAGTCAGGTGCATAAGCAGGCATATGGCTGAGATGCCCCTGGAGCTTTGTCAGTCAGCTGCATTAAGTTGCACAAATCTTATGCAAACACCAGTAGGATTCTCGCTACGAGTATTAAGTGCACATATTAACTTTGTTAGGAGACAGCATAAGAAAGTGTATAGATTTTCCCCAGCTGTTTGTACGAGGGAGTACTTGATTTTTATTATTGGAAAACAGTGCCACAAACTTTGAGACTAGTGCCTATTTACATGTTGGTTATTTCCTTTGTTTCCCTTAGTTTGCCCAAGCAGTGAGGGTTCTACCTAAAGAGCCACCTTTGAGTTTAATTGTCTCCTAGAATGAGGAGGTTGTACATTACATGCTGTTTTCTTTGAAAGCCAAGTACCTGCATAGCTTACGAAAAGTGAAGGCACCAAATTCTGTTTGATATCATATTTCTTGTTTTGCCGAGTGGCACAAAAGGGGTGAAAATCTAAAGCTTTTTGGACATTTTCTTGGTATTCTGGTTCAGCAAATGATAGAAGGATAATGACTGGCATTCTAACAAGTTATGCTGGCAATACAGACACAGTTTGGGCAGACACTTCTGATGTCCATGTTACGGCTGGGGACTTTGGAAGAGACAGAACACCGAAGCTTTCCAAATGGACACACATCATTTTGCTCTTGCTTCAGCCTGGGAGATTTAGCCTTCTCTTTTCTTCCCATGTGCTTTCCCATGAATAATACTCAGATTGAAGTAGACAGACTTCAGCTTCTTCAAGCACAATTCTGAAATCTAGCAACCAGAGGCAAGAGCCAAACGCTGCCTCTCGGCATATCTTGTGGCCAGAAATTGATTATCAGTACCAAAAACATGCTTATAAGTCCTTTCATACAAAAATCCACTCCTGCTTCTCCTTCAAGGGTACTTTTCCTGCAACCTGATTTAAGGAGGAACGAAACTTTTCAGATAGTGTATTTCTTTGACAGTTGGGAATCAAACTCCTTTTCCAGTCATCCATGAATGACCCAAATATCAACCAACCAATTCTGACTTACATCAGTTTTGAATTTTCAGAGGATTTCACACTTACTTTATCTTGTTACCCATTCATCCAGATAGTCATCCTAGATCCCCACTGAGTATTATTATCTCTAGATATTGCAGTTGGAAGAACCTGGAGACACAGGGACTTGTAACACAATTTTATTCTTCTATTACCGTAGCTGTGTTGTACTGCTTTATTGGGGGAACATCTGAGGCTTGTTGACAGCTACACAATGATCATTCAATGAACACTTCAACAAGTGATGTTTCGAATATGAGAACAAGTCACCGCAGCTCTAAAGCTACTTTTAGAGTCTGTCTAATATTATTGCTGCCAAAACTTTGGTATGGAGTCAGTTCATTGGTCACGAGTCTTCAGTCAGGAAGGCATGTAATAAAGGACTTAAACCAGTTAAACAGCAGATACTTGCTAGCTTGTTCTGTCAGTGGGAATGTGAAGTGAACAAAAACCCATCAGAGCAAACTGAAAAACCTTTGGCTTTCCAGCCCTGACTATCGCTAATCATTTGCCATCCTGGCTGAGCTTGATGGGAGTACAGTGGGGTCTTGACTTGAGAACTTAATCCATATTGGAAGGCGGTTCTCAAGTCAAAATGTTCCAGTCTGAAGACTCCCAATCCACTCTCTAAACACTGGGAGGAGTGAGGAAGCAGACATGCACCCTTTTCACTGGCCAACAGTTAATTGAAAGTTCAAATTTTGCACTTTCCCTGGCTCCCACGTAGTTTTTTTTCAGTTCTTAACTCAAATCTAAGTATGTAAGTCAAGTCAATATTTTCCTATGAGAGTGGTTCTTAAGTCAAAATGTTCTTAACTCAAGCCATTCTTAAGTCAAGACCCCACTGTAA